GGGAGGGGTGGCTGGGCGGGGGGGCGACGCCAGGGGTTGGCTTGAGGAAAGCCCATCCGGGATTCAAAGTCTCCGGGCGTTGGACACCCCGCCCAGGTTTCACGTCCTATTAAACCGTAGGGTTTATGGCTTTAGATAACGCGTCTGTCCACCAACGCCCCTCTCCCCGCTCGGCCCTTGTCCCCTCTCTCTTCCCTCTCAGCCTCCGCCCCAACGGCCTGGCTCCACCGTCCCCGGGGCGAGGCCAGGCCGCGTTTTGCAGCCTCGGGGGCCCGCGCCCTCCGGGAGTCCGGGGGCCTCAGCGGGCGGGAAGACTGGGCCCCTCCCAGCTGCCTGGCTCCTGGGAGGCATTCTGGGAACGGAAGGCGGGAAATCCTGGGGCAGATTAGCATCTCGAGGGATTGGACTCCCCCCGGAAGCTCCAACTCCCTTGTTCTTTGGGGAGGGCTTCTTAGTTCCCCCTAGTTCTAAGCACCCTTGACATTGCTTCTTGACTGCGTCCTACTAGCTCTTGAGTCCTCCCCCGAGTAGTTAAACACAGGCTCTGAGTCCCGATTCCTGGTGCCCATTGCTCCACCCTTTCCTTTGATGGGCTCGCTTGCTGAATCCAATTTCCTCATCTATAAAATGGGCACTATAATCCCTAAATCAGGGGTTTTGCCTAGTCAAGCATGTAATGAAGGTAAAGAGTTCAGCAGTCCATGGCCAAATGTTATAATCACTTATAATTTTGGGGCAGAATGACCTGGGGAAGAAAGGGATTTACAGAAGGGGCTTTAGGCCAGACCCTGAAGTCAACCTTCTTTTCTAAGTCCCTCCCAATTAAAAAAAAGTGGCAACTTTGGGTTGATTACGGAAAATGAATTCCTCTTCTTGGAACCGGTCTGTTATTTTTTAAACATTTCCCTTCTAACATGCCTCGATTTCATCCTGAAATCTGGATTTCCTTGTGCCCAAGGAACCCGGGACATTTGTGTTTGGGGCAGAGAGGGTTGTGGTTTCCGGGGTGTGGTAGGGTGGGGGTAGGGTGGGGGTAGGGTAGCAGGGAGTCTTTCATTTGCAGACTGATCTGCCTCGTTCTTTGTCTTTTCCCTGGACACAAGTGACTTTTACACGGATGGGACTCCTGAAAGAACCTGCCTGAGCTCCTCTAGGCCATTGCAGGGTTGAGGACCCCTGGGCTCTGAGAGGGGCAGCAACTTAAGGTTATGCAAGCCAGGTTAGTAGCAGTGTTTGGCCAAAATCCAGGTCTTCTGGCCACTGCTCTCTAGGCCCTAAGGCCTACATTTCCCTATAAACTGTAGAAGTTCCTCAAAGCCACTCCAAATAATAATGATGATGATAATAGTAGATAATAGAACAATCTACATTTTCTTTTTCAGTTTTATATAAAGTGTTAACACTTGTCTATTTTTACTGATCTGTAATACATAATCTAAATCAAGAAGACCTATTTGTTCTGCAAAACAGTTTCAACATGATTCTCCTAACTGTCTCCTTCCAACCATGCACCCTTATGTCCCCGCCCCCAGAGTCAGAAGGACATGGCTCCCTACCCCACTGACCACGCTGCCTCTGTTAGGTCATAGCTAACTAGCTTCCTGGGTTTCGGAGACCCACTGTTTGGGGAGTGGACAACACTCCTTGCTTCCCCCCAAGTCCGTGCCCGATGTGGACCTTTTCATTCCCTCCTCCCTCATGCAGGTGCGGAGCCTGGAGCAGCAAAATAAGATTCTGGAGACCAAATGGAACCTCCTGCAGCAGCAGAAGACAACTCGCAGTAACATGGACAACATGTTTGAGAGCTACATCAACAACCTTCGGCGGCAGTTGGACACGCTGGCCCAGGAGAAACTGAGGCTGGAGGCAGAGTTTGGCAACATGCAGGGGCTGGTGGAGGACTTGAAGAATAAGTGAGCTGCTCTCCTCTGCACTACTATCTGCTCAAATGAAGCCGTCCTGTTCTGTCCTACCCCGGGGGACCAGAGGCCTAAGACCCCATGGCCCTCCGCTTGTTGGACAATGTGGTCTTATATAATTACTATGACCATGTGACCAGGTTTTCTCAGGAGAGTCAAGTTTACACCCATTGTCCTGGCATAATTGTTAGTAGCTCTTACCCCTTTTTAGTCTCGGAATTATCCAGATTTGGACAACAAATTATATGTTAATATTTGCATAGCAGACCTTGGAAAGACGGGTAGCCAACAGGCCCCTGATATGTCTTTATTGCCCTGGTCCTTTTTTATTCTTTACCCCTGATTTTCAGCACAACCTGGAAAGTTCTGGCCAAGGTCTCATGCCAGTCCCTGTTGCTAAACCTCCTAATATGCCTACTATGCCCAATCCAATGAATATTCATGGATCTGGAGAGAGGTTTCCTGCTCCAGGCCTCCCCACTGGCTGATGAGCAGAAGGACCAGGCCAGCCCCCTGATCTTGTATTTCCATGAACTGAATTTTCTAGACAGCCTTGCCCCCTCGAAAGACTCAGGGCAACCTCCCCTCTGCCTTCATCCTTTGATTCTAAGTCTTCCCTACCAGGTACGAGGATGAGATCAACAAGCGCACAGAGATGGAGAATGAATTTGTTCTCATCAAGAAGGTGAGGGAGTCCCCCACCCACACTAGACACTGGAGGCCGGGTCTTAGAGGCTCGGCCTCAGGCTTTCTGGGTTCTGACCCGAAATGATTCTAAGTAATGGGCCAACATTTGGGTGCTTCCTAGATATATAGCATGGAAAGGTAGGCAAGAACAGGGAGGTAAGGGGGTGCATTTGGACGGAACTCTGGGCATCGATGTTGAGACGTCGAAATGGAGCAGTAGAAAAATGGAGCACTAGAATGGAAGTCTAGCCATAGAAGGTTTCCTGAAGGGGGGGGGGGAGCCTTCCTGAAGGCTTCTTGCAGAAAATTGAGTAAAGGTGTTTGGGCTGGGAATGCAGGTCTGATGGGGCAGAGGCTGGACTGGAGGATGAGGCCACAAAGTGAGGTGGAGAAGGCACTAGCTAGAAGGTTCTAAGTCCAGGCTATTGGGTGCTCCTGGATTGGGCTCCAGTGTGGGCACTCAGCTCAGGGGTCCCCTCCACAACACCCCCTAGGATGTGGATGAAGCTTACATGAACAAGGTGGAGTTGGAGTCCCGCCTGGAAGGGCTGACCGATGAGATCAACTTCTACAGGCAGCTGTATGAAGAGGTACGTTCTTGTTCCCCCAGCCTCATCAGAGGCTCCTCCCGGCCCCCGGTGCACCAAGAGACAAGGGCCCGCCTCTGAATAATTACAGCTATTGATATTAACTCAGTATCGATGTTCTCTAGTTCTGTCCCCCTGTGTGAGGGAGGGTTGATTACCCCATTTCACAGATCAGAAAATAACTGCAGAGAACAGAAGTAGCCTGTCCGAGATCGTCATACACAGAATGGTGACCCACTGGCAACTTGGGCCTGCTCTGTCTCAGAGCCTTTGTTTTGAGTCTTTGGGCTCTGGGAGTCCGCTGTAGGCTCAGTATCAGTAGCAGATATCATGGAAGGGCCCTGCCCTTTTGGTTACTCCCCCAAAGCCAGTTTTTCTTTTTCCTGGCCTTATTTCATCCTTACATCCCTCCAGGTTCCAGGTCTTTGACCTATTTTGCTTCTTCAGGAACTTTGCCCTCTCCCAGGTCCTCAGGACCACCTGTTCCTCTCCTCTCTTGTTGTTCCCCTAGCTTGTCCCCTAAGGAAGGCCCTTCTGCGAAAGGGGGCTCCTTGTGTGCAAGGACAGGGCCTGAGTCACCCCCTCCCCTCTCTACCATAGGAGATTCATGAACTGCAGTCCCAGATCTCCGACACATCTGTGGTCCTGTCCATGGATAACAACCGCTCCCTGGACCTGGACGGCATCATCGCTGAGGTCAAGGCCCAATACGAGGAGATCGCCAACCGCAGCAGGGCTGAGGCTGAGACCATGTACAAGATTAAGGTGAAGAGCAGGGTCACTAGGCTGCCCCTCCTTTTCTGGCTGGTTCTGTGCCCCAGTTCATGAGCAGGGAGCAAGGTTCCAGATGCCGCTCTGCATACTATGAGCTGGGACTGCCGGGTGGGTGCTGGGGAAACTGGGATGCCCCTGTGCCCAGAGGTCTGGAGGAAGGCCTTCAGTGTGCATGTAGTGGGGTGCAGGGCGGGGCAGAGGGAGATGACCTGGGCTCCGGTGACTTGGCTGAGAGGGCACTCACCCTTGGATTGAGGGCACCTTGGGTTCCAGAGGCTTCTCAAACCTCCTTCCTCATGGCACCCCCACAGTACGAGGAGCTGCAGACATTGGCTGGGAAGCATGGGGATGACCTGCGCCGCACGAAGACTGAGATTTCTGAGATGAACCGGAACATCAGCCGATTCCAGGCTGAGATCGAGGGCCTCAAAGGCCAGAGGGCTTCCCTGGAGGCCGCCATCGCTGATGCCGAACAGCGTGGGGAGCTGGCCATCAAGGACGCTCAGGCCAAGGTGGCTGAGCTGGAAGCTGCTCTGAGAAACGCCAAGCAGGACATGGCCCGGCAGCTGCGGGAGTACCAGGAGCTCATGAACGTCAAGCTGGCCCTGGACGTGGAGATCGCCACCTACAGGAAGCTGCTGGAGGGCGAAGAGAACCGGTGGGTGTGGGGGTATTTGACTGGCCCTGGTACTCTATCCTTGGGACCTGGGGCAGGGAGGGGTGGGTTCTGTTGTCCTGGGACAGGGCCCAGAGTTGGTCCTGACATGCATGTGTCCTTCGGTACAGGCTGGAGTCTGGGATGCAGAACATGAGTATCCACACCAAGACCACCAGCGGCTACTCAGGTGAGTGTCCCTACTCTGGGGGACAGGGCAGCAGGGCAGGGCCTTTTTACAAAGCCCCTATGCATTTCCCTCTTGTACAGCTGAGAAAGCTGGGCCCAATTAACTGTCTTTTCCAGAGTCGCATAGTTAATATCAAAGCTCTGTCCCACCCTGTTCCTGGTATCCCCTACAGTCCTAGACTAGTGAACCAGGGCAGCTCCCCATCCCCGGGGACTGGAGGGAGAAGGGGGTGTTGGAGCCTAATGTGTGCAGGGCTCCTGTGCTCATGTGGCTGCCTCTCCCTCACCAGGTGTGCTGAGCCCATCTTACGGGAACCTCAACTATGGCATGGGCTTCCAGGCCAGTTTGGGCTCTGGCGGGAGCTCTGGCTCCTTCACCCGCACCAGCTCCTCCAAGACAGTGGTTGTGAAGAAGATTGAGACCCGCGATGGGAAGCTTGTGTCTGAATCATCTGATGTCCTGCCTAAGTGAATGACTACTGCTGTCCCTCCTGTCCTCCAAGCCTGCGGGAAAGGAGCTGCTGTGCAGGGGAGCGGCGGGCACAGGAGACCCGCCTGAGGCTCAGCCTCAGTCCTCAGCTTCCCCTTGGGGTGGGAGAGTTTACTGCCAGGGGGACTACCTTTTTCCTATGTTCACAACATAAAAGCCAAAACAAGTGTTTTTTTTTTCCAAAATAAAATCTCAGCTGGCTCAGCCAACACTACTTGCTGTATGTGGAACCCTTGTCCACGGGATGGGAGAGAGATGGTCAGGAGGCATGTCCCTGGCATCAGGGGTTGGGTGGAGGTGGAGGGGCACCGGGAGGAAAATCTCACTTTCACCTGTTCCCAGAGAGACTTCTTGGCTGAAAGCTAGTTGAGGCCTTGGTCATTAAAAGTGCTCTCAAATACCTCATTTCATTTTATCTGTGCAGCAAACCCTGGAAGTAGGCAGAGCAGGTTTCAGATGGTATCAGAGTAGTTTAGTGTCCCCATAGACACAGGAGGTCGACATCAGGACTGCTTGCAGATAAGGAAAAGCCAGGCCTGGAAAGACTGAGTAATTGGCCTAACTAGAAAGTGACAGTTAGGGATTTATACCCAGGGCAGTCCTGTTCTCAAGGCCGTTCTCCTCCTTGGCCGGGCACATGGTGTTTCCTTGGTGGTCAGAGAGGTCTTTTTACCGTTTTCATTCCTTTGCAGTCAGGGACCAAGGAGTCTTGGTTTTTGCATCTCTTCAGAGGCCCAGAGTCCATTCTTATCAACTGGGTGTATCACACCATCTCTAGAAGCCAAGATAGTATGGGACTTGGCATTGATAAGTGGGCTCTTTCTGCTTTACTCATAGTCACACCCATCCTATATTGCTCTTTGCCACCACACTCCTACCCTTTTACATGAGTGTTTTCATCATATGTACAGCTGAGTATGTAAAGGGCGTGTGCATTCTGTTTGCACATGGAGGGTGTGCTGTGTGTATATAAGGGTGTATGGGTTCTGTAGGTGTAAAGGCCTTTGCCTGTCTTTGTTGAAACAGGGTCTCCAAGGCTTAGGGCAGGCACAGAGTTAGGATATGGCTGGGTGGGGCAGTGCGTCTGGGGCACTTTGGTTCTTCTGCCACCACTAGAGTTCTAGGCAGACATGCTGGCCCCTTGGCACAGGACAAAGAGGACAAGTCCTTAGCATGGCTGAAACGAGCGCATTTCCAGACCTGAAACACCTAGGGAGAAGAAATGAGTACATGCAGAGGGTGCAGGAGTGGAGACAGCCTGGCAGGTGGCACTCAGGTTCTGGCCTTGCTGTGCAGTCCCCAGGGCTCTAGCCCCTGGGTCCTTGACTCCCTGGACCCTGGACCCCCACCTGAAGGCTCATTTCAGCTGCCTCCCTCGCTGCCCGCCTCAGTGGAGCTGTTTCCAGACAGCCCAGGCATTCTGCACCCACCCAGGGCCAGGGCCAAGGTGAGGTTCTGGACTGGGTCACAATAAAGGACTTCCACTTTTTGATGATAAAACCACCATTATAGAAAGCTGTGGCTCTCTATTTTGGCAGCTTGTAGTAAAAAATTCATTTTTATTACAATCTGAAAACATGTATATAACTGAAACAAAAATTTCATAAAACAATACCAACCTTCTGCCCACTGTTCATGTGTGACTGGCCCTCTCAGTGGGTTCCAGGAGCTAAAAGGATGGTGTTAGAGCCCAGGCCAGCACCGGTTGAGAGGGACCTCTAAGGCCCTAAGTCAGTATTTTCAGTTGTGCCCCACCCAATCCTCCCTGAAGCTGACCAGCTGTCTTATTGGGGCCCTGACCCCAGGCACTGGGCACCCTGGGACAGCCAAGGGCCCCACTGATAGTCTGACAGAGTTTCCACATCCCAGGTGTTTGTCCTGGGGACAGACAAAAAAGCCCCAGGGATAATTCCCTTTCCCTCCTTCCTTTCTTTCCACTTTATTGTATATCTACAATGTGATCAAGGACATTCATTCATCATGCAGGAGGCACTGTCCCCATTTACCTTTTAGTATTTAAACAAACGTAAGAGGTGGATATCTGATTCTCATTTCGATGAGGACACTGAGGAAGGATGGAAGCTACCATTTCTTAAATATCTACTTGATGGCAGATCTTGCACTACATCACATTCCAACTCTCCAATGATCCTGGGAGGCAGATATGAAAATCCCCACATTGTGCCTGTGGACTTGGAGTCAAGTTACACTGTAAGTGACAGAAGTAGTGTCCTGACACTTGGGCCAGCACTTTTTTGGACAATACTAGATCTTTATTGTATGTACACATGTCATACATAGCTCAAAAATTTAAACCTTGTTTTTGTTTTTGAATAGGTAATAAATATTCCTTGTATACAATTCTAAGTACAAAAGGGACTTCTTCCTCTTATAATTCACTTCAGGCAGAGTATGTATATGTAATTCCTTAATTACATGCATCTGTACTTGTATACTTACCTTTCACAAAGGATATTATGCTGCACATGGTGTTATATATCCTGCTTCGACATTCATTCAACACCTATTCCTTCCTGTTGCCTCATTTTTTCAAAGCTGCATAATATTCCACTTACGGAGGTCACAATTTATTTAATCAGTCCTCAATTTGTCGATCTTTTCAACCTTCTGCTACGAGAACAATGTTGCAGTTAACAACCTTGGATACGTGTCATATCCCACATGGTGAGGATATCTGAATAATTCCTGGAACTGTGGAATGAAAGTGTATGTACATTTACATTTTTGACAGACATTTTAAAAAAGAGCTTGTTTGTTTTCTTATGAGACTGAATTTTAGTTTTCTGGGAAATCCACAAGTGTAGATACCCCACTCGTGACTGTTCCAGATGAACCAGGCATTATTCACCTCTATCCCCTTAGGAATGGAATGATGAGTCTTAAGCATTTGTGGGCCACTCTTCATATATTGTAATTTTAAGGTTTTGCCCTGCTCAAGATGATCTGGGCAAAAGTGGCCCATGATCACCTTAGCAAGGGGATTCTAGAGAGGGCTAAGGATGAGGGTCAGACAACTCGAGTGTAGGGGTGGGAATGGAGCAGTGCCCCGTGAGGAAGGGGAGAGAGGCACAGGAGGTGGCATGGCTGAGAGGCCCCTGGGCCAGCCTCCGTGCTCCCCCTTTGCATATCTTGGGGGGTGTTAGTTACTTTGTCTAGCTAGCATCCCTTCCCCCACCAGGTAACAGGACACCGCCCACCCTCCCACTCCCCCCACATCCCCCTTCTTTTCAGGAACTTTTCCTCCCACCTCCACCCTCATGGTCCTGGTGGGGCTGCCAGTCACAGCACCTCTCCTCTGGGCCCACAGGGGAGCCAGTCTTGGTCAATCACAGGCCCCTTTGTTCTCTTGCTGTGGTATCACATAAACACAATAAAATGTAGAAAGTGCTCGATAGGTTTCTATTTACATTTACACCTGTAATATAGAACATTTCTTGCATTGCAGAAGTGTTGCTTGGGCCCCTTGAATATTTATACTTATTGGGGGATCACTTGGTGAGTTGTATGGATGTTTACCCACTATGCTGTACACCTGAAACCAATATAATATTGAATGTTACCTGTAATTGGAAAAAAAAAATTAATAAAAAACAAATAGGATTCGGTTACTCCCCTACTTAAACCCCAAGATAAAGCTTCGAGTCCTGACTTTGTGCAAGACCTTGGCCTGCCCGGCCTCTGCCCTCCTCTCAGGCCTCCTCCTGGCCAATCTCTGTTATGTTCTCTCTGACTCAATGGTGCTGGATTTTCAGTGCTTGGCTCACTCCACCTTTCCTCTGCCCAGGGCCACTGCACATGCTGTTCTCTGCTCGGAACATGATGCGTTTTGTAGGCACACTTAGGCATTTGCTAGTCATTCTCCAGAGTGTAGCTCAAAGGCAGCTTCCCCAACAGTCTTGAAGACACCACAGGCTGGGGGTGGGGTGTACTGGGGGTAGGTATTTCCATAATGAGCTCTCAAAATAGTCTGTACCTTTTCCTCGTAGATTATAGTCATTCATTCATCTGCAGGGGTGTTTTACTGTCAGCCTTACCTGATAGACTGGAGGCTCTGAGAGGGCAGAGACCACACCACATTTGCCAGGGTCTCCATTGATTCTTCAGTACCTAGCAGAGTGTTAGGCACATAGTAGGTGGTCAATAAAAAATTATTAAATAAAAGAATGCATGAACCATTTCCATTTTGATGGTCATCTATTTATTTTTTATTTGTTTTCTGCCATTTTAATTCTTTTTAAACTTCCTTTTAGGGAAGATAGATTAATTTACTCAGGCCTAGTCCAGACACAGCTGATGTATTCATCTGTTAAAGGGTCTTCCTGCAAAGTGGCCTTAGCCCCATGTCAGCAATGGGCAGCCTTCTCTAAGTGCCTGGGAAGGGATGGAAAGAGCAGAGCTAGGCTAAGCTTGGCTTAAATGTGTTTAGCAATGTGTGCCTGGTGCCAAGAGGGGAGGAGGAGGGTTTTGGAGTGACGACAAAGACACCTAAGACAGGGTCCTTGACTTCGCACTGCTTCCAGCTTATCAAGGAGAAGTACATACTTCAGAAAAGTCAATCTCATTTGTCCAGTCATTCAGTAAACATTCATTGGTCATCGGGATGAGTCAGACTGTGTCAGGCGCAGGGTGGAAGAATGGACTGGACACTTGGCACCTGGCAGGGTGGGGACTTGCTGAGCATGGTGGATTCAGTGGTGATTTACTATTTACTATGCCAGTGACTGCTGGTGTCCCCCCTTTTCCTCAGAAATTAGAACCCCACTTTTTAGTTGGGCACATGGCTACCTGGAATAAAGACTACATTTTCTGCCTTCTTTGCAGATATCTGTGGCCATGTGACAAAGGGATAGAAGCAGAAGTGAGGGGCACAACTTTCTAGAAGTGTTTTTAAAGGGAGGGAATGTGAGCTGCTTCTTTCACACTCCTTTCTGCTAGCAGGAATGCATTCATAATGGCTGCAGCTCAGCAGCTATCTTGGACCATGAGATGACCTGGGGAATGAAAGCCAGCTTTGGCAGAATAAAGGAGAGATGGCACCTGGGTCCATGCCACCATTGGATGCCATGCTAGCCTTGGACAGATTACAATTGACCTTTAACACGGGTTTGAACTGTGCCAGTCCTTTTACAGATTTTTTTTCAATAAATATACAGTTGGTCCTCCACATCCCCAGGTTTCCCATCTGTGGATTCA